CCTGCAATCGAGGCTCTCAGCTCAGATCCATTGCATTGGTGAGGTCTGAGAGCCTGAGCTTAAGCCCGAATAAAGACTCTTTGTTCTTGCATGCCCTCTGGATTCCATGGTTATTCTTGGGAGTCCATTCTCTGGGCACAACACTACAAGGCAAGACTTATCTCAAAATAGATGATAGACAGAAGATAGGAAGGAAGGGAGGGAGGACGGGAGAGAGCGAGTGTGCTATGGGATGCATTACAGGTCCTGGTGGGATGGAAGCTTTGTTAGTACCAAGGTTCTCAGTTACTGCTCACAAGACCATGTACATCTGGTGAGATGGTTAAGCTTTTTGTTCCTGCCTAGGAAGTTTGGGTCAACCCTTACTGGATCTCTAAAACACATATTCCATTGCTCCTTTGTCAGAAGTTTCAGGAGGAAGTTTGACTTGCTCCTCCTCCCATGGACCCCCGCCACCCCTAGCTCCCTGGCGGCTCCCAGTCACTGGATCTTTGTAGGGAGTCGCCCGTCGCCTGCGAAGCGCTTCTTTCTAGTTCAAGGCTGCTTCCAGCTTAGCAGTGCTTGCTTTTATTATTTATTAACTGTTCCACCCACCACAAACTCTGATGCCAGAGGCAGCCAGGCCGGTGGTTAGGAAGACCGTCTGGCCGCCATCTTGGATCCGGGCTGAAGCCTTGTCTAAACAGGCAAAAAAACCGAGTGCTCTACCAATTCGATCACTCTAGCAGGGGCAGAAAGCAGAAATGAAAGGGATGGAAATTATGGCCCTTCTGGAGATCTCCCAATCTCACCAAACCCGATTTTAGAAGCGGTCAGGCTTCATTGAGGGCTTTGGTGCGTGCGCACCACGTAACTCAGGAGTCCACTGGCATTTCCGACTTTAGGGAAGCACTTTCGTCACATTTTCTTTTCTTCATCTGGAGGTCTTCGAAGGCCTCAGAACATAATATCAGCTATCTCCAGCCCTCTCGGCCACAAAAAGCTTCAAAATTACTTTTCGTTTTCTATTTGTAGCCTTCCGTTCAGAACGTCTGCGTTAAGACTACTCAGGATACGGGCCTTAGCCGGCGCAGTGCATTGTGGGTATTGTAGTTTTCGCCCGCCTTTATGGTTACTTTGAGCGTGCTGCCACGGTGAGTTGTTGAATGACGTGAACAACGTCGTTTTTTTCTCGTCTGTACGCAGTTAAGTCTAGGCTCTTAATGGACCTTGCTTCTTTCCCTGAGTTGTTTACGCCCCATCTCCCAGACCCCTCTCCTCTCTCTGGATTTTTTGCCCTTGAGAGCAGAGCGAGGGACCTTAGATTGTCAGCCTTGGTTGCAGTTGGTGGGGAGTGGGGTGGGGGTGGGGAATCCCTCCTCACGGTTTTTATTTTATTTCCCTAGTCTAGCTACCTTGGGATCCTGCCTCTCTTCAAGACCGTTCTGATCTACGTGCGTCAAACTGGGCGTTCCTTCTTACGCTTTTTCCTCAGATTCGAACATTGGAATGTAACAGGCACCTCAGGATTCACGTTCTACTTCCTGCTTTAGGGATTGCCGCCGGTGTTGGATATTCCTGGATCATTGCTTAGTGGAGAGATCACGTGCTTTCATTGCTATTAAGTCGCTCCTAAAGCAGAATCTTGATTTGTTTGTAGAGAGAAGCAAAAACTCTTTAAAAATTGTGCTTTGTCTGTCTTGAACGCCCAGTCCCTTAATTTTCCTTAGAAGTAGAGTGGACCTCTTTTGTTTTCAAACATTCTTTTCACTGGTAGCTATCTTACTGCAGAATGGCGTTCTATTTGTCCGGTTTTCGATGCTTCCCTAGGCTTTGGAAGAGCAACCCTTCCCCTAAGCTAGGCCCGGGGCACTCTTCTCTCTCTCTCTGTCTCACAGTTTACTGTGGCATCAGGAACCAGCAGAGCTGGTTTTCTGTTAAACCCAGTTCCCAAAATATCAAAGCAATGAATCTGCTGATTACCAAGGGCAGAAAACTGAAAGGAAATAACAACAATAAGCAAGTGTCTTCTGAGTCTCATTATTTTGCTGCTGGAGCAGCTAAGAAGAGATCACACATAGGTAATCCTCAGAATGAAGATCATCCCTCATCGTCTCTGAGGAACACTATCCAAATCCCAACAAAACCTTTGAATTCAGAAGAGTGGGATAAACTTAAAGACTGTTTCAAAGGAAAGATCAGTTTTGAAGATTGGATCAGTTCACAGATGGCTCACCACAATAGCTCTGTAGAAGTGGCTAAGTCTCTGCTGGCATGGGTAGCAGCAAAAAACAATGGCATTGTAGGGTATAATTTGCTTGTCAAGTATTTATATCTCTGTGTCTTTCATAAGCATACATCAGAAGTCATTGACGTCTATGAAATCATGAAAGCCAGATACAAGAGCTTAGAATCTGGGGGTTACACACTTCTCATCCGGGGATTAATCCAATCAGACAGATGGAAAGAGGCCTTGCCGCTCTTAGAAGACATTAAAAAAGTCATGATTCCTTCAAAAAAGAACTATCATGACTGTATACAGGGAGCCCTCCTTCATCAAGATGTGAACATTGCTTGGAATTTGTATCAGGAATTACTAGGTCATAATGCCATTCCCATGTTGGAAACTTTAAAAGCCTTCTTTGATTTTGGCAAAGACATAAAAGATGATCACTATTCAAATAAACTACTAGATATTCTTTGGTATCTAAGGAATAATCAGCTGTATCCTGGAGAATCATTTGCACGCAGTATAAAAACATGGTTTGAAAGGTAATTTTGATTTTTGTTTTATTTTAGTGCCTCTTTGGGGGTTGTTTTGTTAATTGCTGAGACATCCTATTATATTTTTTCCCATCTTGTGGTAAGAGTTATTTCCCCTTTAAAACAAAATGTACTCTTAGAAAAGTAGTAGTATAGGGCCAGGTGTGGTGGCACACACACCCACCTTCAATCCTAAAACTCAGGAGGCAGAGGCAGGCAGATCTCTGTGAGATGAAGGCCAGCATGGTGTACATAATGAGTTTCAGGCCAGCCAGGGGTATGTAATGATACCCTGTCTCCAAAAAAAATAAAGTAGTAGTATGAATAATTTGTGTCAATCTATTTATCACATGAAAGGAAATTATAGAGCACATTTTTAATGTTTTTTTTTTGTTTTTTGTTTGTTTTGTTTTTACTTTTAGGATCTGTAATTATTTTATGTTCTGAAGCATCTAACCTGAATAGTAGACAAAATTATAGCAAGAAATGGGTTTAGAAAGTGTGTGTGTGAACGGACCCTTTTGCCTGCATGTGTGTGTGGAGGCCAGAGGTTGACTTTGGGTATCTTCCTTATTGAGCTCTACCTTAGGTTTTGGACAAAATCTCACAGAACCTAATGCTTGCTGTTTGGGCTAGACTGACTGACCAGCAAGCCCCTGGAGTCTGCCTGTCTCTACTCCCCCAGTGCTGGAGTTACAGGTCCATGCTCTTCCACACCAGGCCTTTAGTGGTCTAGGGATCTGAACTCAGATCTTCGTTGGGTATCTTCCTTATTGAGCTCTACCTTAGGTTTTGGACAAAATCTCACAGAACCTAATGCTTGCTGTTTGGGCTAGACTGACTGACCAGCAAGCCCCTGGAGTCTGCCTGTCTCTACTCCCCCAGTGCTGGAGTTACAGGTACATGCTCTTCCACACCAGGCCTTTAGTGGTCTGGGGATCTGAACTCAGATCTTCGGGTTTATGCAGCAAGCACTTTACCCACTGAACCATTTCCCTAGCCCCAAGTTTAATATTTTACTGGAGCTGTCCTTGGGCCACGTTAGTATTTTGAGGAGTTCCTCTGAAATCTAGTGACTAAAATAATGTTGTTTATACTGCGTAATTCCTGTGTTTCATCACTTTGAGTGGTTACGGTGGGTAAGAGAGCTCCCACGTTAGTATTTTGAGGAGTTCCTCTGAAATCTAGTGACTAAAATAATGTTTATACTGCGTAATTCCTGTGTTTCATCACTTTGAGTGGTTACAGTGGGTAAGAGAGCTCCTGATCAAACCTAGTACTGAAGATTAGTGGAAAATCATCCTT